AAGTTTCGGGGGGATATAGTTTTTGTCGTGTTCGTCTGTCTGTCTGTCTGTCTCTCTGTCTGTCTCTCTGTTTGTCTGTTTGTCTGCAAAACTTTAACCTTGCCCATAACTTTTGATTTAGTGGAGCTATGACTGTCATATTTCATATGTGTTTTCCATGTGACAAGACCTTTCTTAGGGTACCACCAAATTTAACCTTTTGACCTTGACCTTGGAGTTTGACCCAATTTAGCGTGAAAATTTTAAAATTTTATTTTGGCCATATCTTTTGAACAGTAAACATCAGAACATTTATACTTCACATATGTAATGTTTGTTAAAAGACCTTTCACTGGATACCAACAACCTTGACCCTTTGACCTTGACCTTATAGATTTCCGTACTTGTGAAAAAACTTTAATCTTGGCCATAACTTTTGAACAATTAGGAATAGGGTTTTCATACTTCATATATCTAATTCTTGTGAAAAGACCCTTTATTAGATACCAAGAACTTTGACCCTTTGACCTTGACCTTTGAGATTGATCTACTTTAAAAAACAAACTTTGACCATAACTTTTAAAGATTAGAGCTAGTGCTTTCATACTTTACATATTTTATCCTTATGACAAGAGCTTTAATTTGATAACATTAACTTTGACCTTTTGACCTTGACCTTGGAGCTTGACCCACTTTTACATGACAATTTTAAAAATTTACTTTGGCCATATCTTTTGAACAGTAGATACCAGGACAATTATACTTCACATATGTAATGTGTTTGTTAAAAGACCTTCACTGGATACCAACAACCTTGACCCTTTGACCTTGACCTTGTAGATTTTCGTACTTATGAAAAACCTTTAACCTTGGCCATAACTTTTGAACGGTAAGGGATAGGGCTTTCATACTTCACACATGTAATTCTTGTGAGAATACCCTTCATTGGATACGAAGAACTTTGACCCTTTGACCTTGACTTTTGAGATTGACCTACTTTAAAAAAGCAAACCTTGACCATAACATTTAAATACTAGGGCTTGTGCTTTCATACTTTACATATTTAATCCTTATGACAAGACCTTTCATTTGATAACAATAACTTTGACCCTTTGACCTTGACCTTGGAGTTTGACCTACTTTTTAAGAAATTGAACGTTGACCATAACTTCTGAAGGGTTAGGGCTAGGGCTTTCATGCTCTACATAAGTATTTTATTTGGCAAGAACTTTCATTTGATACTAATTACATTGACCTTTTGACCTTGACCTTGGAGATTTTTGTACTTATTAAAAAACTTTAACATTAGCTTACTTTTAAATTTCACAATTGTTTTCCAGTGAGAATACCCTACTTTTAGTACCAATTGATTAAATTTGCATTTAAGAAAAGCTTTATCTTTGATATGTTGCCATACGGGGACATCAGTGTTTTACAAACACATCTTGTTGCAAATTATATTTGCGACTTTTTATCAATTTTTTAAGAACGACTGATAATTGTCAACTAAACTTCAATGGAATTAAAAAAATACAGCCATTTTAATTCCTATTATAATATTGCTATTAATTTGGAAATTAAGGGGCAAATTTTTATTTCGATATAATATGTAACTTTGTAAAATCCGGTGATTTGATTGGTCATTACGAAGTACTTATTTTTTAATAACGACCGCTGAAAGCGAATAATGACTCGCACGAGCTGCCTCGTTTTCACTTTCGCTTTAGACAAACATGGAAGTTCTCAAGTTTGCAAGTTGTAAGTGAGGAAAAATTAAAAGATAAAGGGAAGAACTCTGAGACTGAGAATACAAAACAGTTACAGGGATATCTGTACATTTTTCGGAAATAATTTGCACATACCATTTCATGGTTGAATTCGGCTTTTCCACTCGGCGAGCAGAGTTTTGACTGTTTCCGCGATTACGGAGACTAAAGAAAATAAAGACGAGCGTACCATTTATGATTGTATCTTATCGTAGAAGAAATAGGTATTTATATTTTGTCGATGAATATATTTCCTCTGCAAGTGTAAACGAGTGCGATTCTTAATCTGGGGGAGGGGATACTCTGTGTTATTCGGAGATAGATATATTGTGTTAATATCATGCTATGGGTTAAAATTTTAAATTCACTTACCAAAACAAGTTCCTCTGAGTAACATTCAATAAATTCTGAAACATTTATACTCAACTTATTTATGGTTAATACTATCTATGTAAACATTAGGAAGATATAGTACTGTATAAATTTGGGAAATTATTATTTATATAATATAATAAATATGGACTCAATATGGTCGATATACTACATGTATCTTCGGTCAATATCTGTCATCCTGGGTCATTATAAATGCATATTGACCTACATTGAGTCCATATTTGTATAATAACGAGATAATTAATTCGTTATAACGAGAAAACTATCTCGTTATAAGGAGATAACTTACTCGTTATAACAAGTTAACTAACTCGTTATAACGAGTCAAGCTAAGTCGTTATAACAAGAAACTAATTCGGTATAACGAGATAATTAACTTGCTATAAGTAATTCGTAATAATGAGATAAAAACAAGTCGTTATAACGAGATAATTAACTCGTTATAACAAGATACTAATTCGTTATAACGAGATAACTAAGTCGTTATAACGAGATAGTTAACTCGTTATAACGAGTTAAATACTGTGAAATCACTAATTTTTGTGGGGGTTTAATTTTCGTTGTTTTCGTGGTATGAGACCCACGAATTTATGTCCACCACGAAATGTAAATTGTCATATGCACAACTACTAAAAAGTTCTTCATCCACGAAATCAAATCCCAACGAAACAACATTTTTTCCTCAAACCACGAAAATTTGACCCCACGAAAAAATATGTGATTTTACAGTATTTTTTTTTATCTTTTCAGAAGATCCTATCCGGCTTTCGTAAAATACAATTACTAGTATATATGTAAAAATATATTGAGTAAGTAATATAGCACAGATAACTAGTTACATAACTTACTCGAATACAAAGTAAGCCAAAAATAGGTCCATTCACATAATCTGTCGTAAATTGGTTTTCCTATTATTATTATATTTCTAAAAGATCTTAACGAGGCTGGAGGGTGGCAGCCATTTCAGACTATTTCGATCTCCTTTAAAAGGAGAGCTCCATATAAAGATGTACAAAAATGATCAAAATTCAAAACTAAAATGTATGATTTTTTTCTTTGCCAAATGAATGTTGGCAACTTAAGATACCGTATCTAAAAAAATTGTTAAATCTGATGGTTAATTTTTAGTTAAATTGTTGACCCCCAGCCTCCTTAAATATTCATAATAATTATTGAATTATGTTCTAAAATAAATATATGTACAAAATAATAAAATGCAAATTCATTTTCAATGAATATTTACAAACGATTTTATTATAATAATTTAGTATTATTACGTTAAATAAATCCTTTGAATACATCTAAAATGTTTATGAGTTCTTCTATGACTTCGAAATACACATTTATAACTAGAGCAAAGCTCGTTGCAAAGCAATGAGTAGGTCTTCCATCCTGTTTTGACCGGAAGTGACGTCAACAAAAGAAAGCAATGAGCTAAGTTGTCTCCAGTCACTCTATACTTTTCATTTTTGCATCAAAACCTTAAAAATAAACTATTTTTGGCTGCTTCCGGTTTGACCAGAAGTGATTTTGACGGACGGAAAATTAAGTTTTATGGTTCCAGTGACATATGTTACCCAAAAACTTGTCAAGAACGGCAAAAATATCCATTTTCTGATGACTTCCGATTTGACCGAAAGTGACGTCGCCGGACGCATTTTGATGACTTCAATAGATTAAGCTTGACATTTTGAACAACTTTGCTTCTTGGACGTATTACAAATTCTAAATACTTTTTGAGATATCTGGAAAAAAACCCTCTAGATCCCTTAATTTAGGGGTCAGTCCTTTTTCTAATTCTGCACAAATTTTGTTCTATATGTTTTCACAAAATATTTTTAGTTTAGAAGATAAAAAGCAAAATATGTGTAAATTTTCGCTTTTTTAGGCGTTCTAATTTTTGACCCCTATATAGCGCCATTTTGAATAGAGAAATCGAAAAAACAAAAAACGATGTGCACAACTTCAATCCTTCTATTATCTAAAATCAGTAGAATTTCTGCTCCAGCTTTAGCCGTCTCTAAGCCTTTGTCTGGAAACGAAAGCTTATAAATTTTCGTTTAAAGGGAAATAACTCAAAACCGGAAGTGAATTTTTGAATTTTAGACAGCTTTCTGATAGAGTTCTTCTGATAGTAACTTCTAGTATCTCTGAAAATTTGACCGAAATCATTTGAGAAATGAATGAGATATGAGGCTTCAAAGTTGGCGCCTAGGAAGTAGAAGACAAAAAATAATCTTTACCAACAGAATCAGTAGAAGGTCTTCTGTTGGAAACGAAAGACCTTAATAATGTAAACCTCTCGACCTATCAACTATACTTTCATTACTTCGAATTTCGCAATAACTAATGTCAACGTGTTCACCTGTCAGCCATATATAAAGGCACGATTATCAACAAATGTACTTTTAATGACATCACAGTAATATTGAGGTCAACCTGTCCGTTTGTCAACCTGTCAGCTAAACAGACATTGTGGCATGTTTATGACAAATTTTCTTTTATGGCTTCGAAATACACATTTATAATAATGTCAACCTCTCAAACTGTTAGATTTTAGTATTCAAATACGATAACATGAAATAATGTAGACAATATCTAATGCACAAATATTTAATATTTGAAAATTTTGAAACGTTATCAATTAAAGTTGAATATTTTGAACTCTTAATCAAATAGTACTTTATATTTGCTTAATAAGGGTAAACTGTTTGTTGTCATTCAGAAGAAAATTAATTGTGACATTTATTTGCATCATTTAGTGAATATACCTGAAGAAATATTAAGAAGGGATATCGATGCTAGAGAAAGGTTTTTGAAAAACTTCAAGGAAGAAAATGTAAAAATGTTTCGTGCCGAGGCATGATAGTTGGATGTGCAGGTGCAGGAAAAACAACTCTTCTTAGAAAGCTTCATGGAGGAGGTATAACAGATGAAGATGAACCCACTGAGACAACTATCGGCCTTGAGGTCCATGAAGATTTATTTATTATTAAGGAAAACAAGTTAACAGGTGATATTTTCTTTTTTTTCAAACAGTGTAATATATGCTATGTTTTAAGCGAATAATAATGCTTATTAGAGCAAACTAAAGTTCCATTTCTAATCCTTTCGAATAATACCGCATATGGTTCTCATTTGTGGAAAAAAAGGTCCAATATCAGGAAAGGTGCGTTGAAGTTCTTTAGGAAATAGTTTAGCATGCTTAGAATTAATGTAAACACAATAAAGAGATGACTACCAAATGATTAGCAAATGAATTACATTTCACCACCATCTAAGTCATCAAGTTATTGAAATGTTAATATATATTAATGTTTAGTTTTATGAAATGTTTAGGAAATAATTTTGTCAGGAATTCTCTTTTAGTTTTATATTAATATGCTTATTTTCGTACTTGAACAGATTTTGCGAATGTTGACAACAGTAGAAATCCATATCTTGACAACAACGTAATAAGCATGACAGACTTCGCAGGACAAGTGGCGTACTACGCATGTCACCAGGTTTACCTCTCAAGAAGAGCATTTTATATCGTGGTTGTCGACATGTCTAAGAAGCTTGATGAAGAAAGTCGAATGTACGACACAGATCGCCATTATCCAACAGGATCTTTATTTCACTCATGGACTTATGGAGGTAACTATCATTGTCATACATGTAACCAAGTCAGGCATATTAACATGTCCATACTACATCCTTCATTACAAACGTGTATAGTATAATTTAACTTATATGCAATTATTTAGCCTTAAAAGTAAATTCGACCCACAAAATGTCTTATTTGATCTAGCAAATATGTAAATTTTGAAAAGGGCATTAGAAAATATGTTTTGGGTTAACTCCAATCTAGAACATTGACACATTTCACATGTTCAACAATTTCGTCTAAATGGTGTATTATGATATCGAAGTAATTTCTAAATAGCAGCATGATTGAGGTTTCTGAAAAAATGCTCAAAATTAACACAATTAATCCTGGTTTTCACATAGAACACAGTCGTTACCGCAAAGTGTTGAAACAGAAAAATAATTATAACTGTCCGAGAAAAATTTACAATGAAAATATCTTGCGGTAACGAGTGTGCTCATGTTGAAAAAAATAAAATAAAATGTCATTGCGTGTAAATATGTTGAAATTAAATTTATTCAGACAGCTAATAAACGAACATTTTTTTCTTGCATGTTTAAGAATTTTATTCGGAAGAACACTTCCCTTAATTCATTGGTGTGTATGAAAACAATGAAAAGATTAAAATTGAAATAAGAAGCATGATGCACATACATCCTATTCTTTTTATAACATTGTGGATTTTCAACAGATCATTATTTTTAAGAAAATAAAATGAAAATTTCACCGATTTTCTTTTTTGATTTACAATGTCTCTTTTTTATTTTACGGTTAGGTTGATACAAAATGGTTCTTATATAATACTCATCACTTTGTCATAGCACAGAATGAAATCATACGGTATAGTCACTAATTATAGATTTTGCAAATGGCTCAGTTAAGTGGGAAACATTCATTCAGCAAATTATGTCATTACACATTTCTCTTGAAAGCGAGAGGGTACGTGAGATAGTAATCGGTATGTCCGTCCGTCTGTCCGTACGTCCGTCCGTCTGTTAAGCTTTGGAATACCCATTACTTGCGTCTCCATATAAGTGAAAAATTCTCTAGAGGGACGTTAAACAATGTACAATCAATCAATCTATCTTAACCAACTGAATGAAATTTGATGGAGACTTTCAGAGAATCTTTATATTATGATACCATTGTGCACTTCCTATTTTGTGTTTTGATCCGATATTTTGGGTTTCATGAAATAAGTTATTTGCAAAGGTTTAGCCCATTTTGATGACTTGTCTCCTATCACATTTTAACAAATGACAAAATTACATTTTGCAGTGATAAAATATTTTGTCTTTTTTGTTTCAAAGGCAACATACTGTGGTCATAAAACTTTATGGAAAAAACAATTATCTATTCTTATTTGTTCTTTAATTTAAGCGTGGCGACTGTGGTTTCCTTTGCGCAATATTTCGTGCATCATAGTAAAACTTTCTTTGCTTAATTATTAAGATTAAACAAAATCAAGATACGAGGGTTGATCCAACAGAAATATCACTGTGTCAATATCTTTAATATTTGGCGTCATATTATCAAATATAATATACCAAAAGATGCATAAAGATAAATCTAATTAAAATTGAAAATTTCATTTGATAATGTATACTTGAATTAATTTTATAGACGTTTAAAATATTAAACATATGGGGGGTCGCCGCTTCACAACTAAGCGTCACGTTTTAAATTGTAAATTGTTATACTGAAATTGACAAAAACTTTAAAAAGCATCTTAAGAAAAACATCTAATCGCCCAATATTTTATAAGAGAAAGTTTTACATTTTCTAATTTTAAGTTGAAAATAAAATGACGACATTGCTTTTTGATCATAAACATTGTTGTTTTCATCAGCTGGATTGAACAAAAGAAATGTCGAAATGGAGAAAAACCGCTGAAACGATCTGTAATGTGTTTTTGCTTCAAAATGGGGAAATCGCCCGTAGAATTAGTTACGATGATAAACAGACACACAGAGGATAGAATGTAAATAAGAGACTTGTTCATAGATGATTTCAGCGATTTTTAGCAGGTCAAGTGTCACTGAATGATCAACAGAGGACAGAAGGACCGAAAAGGGGAGGTAGGAAGGAAACGGTCTTGAAATGGTGTCTGACATTGTCCAAAAAAAGAAGACGGTTAGAGGGTTAGAGCGATATGAGAAAATTTAAGCCTGTATTATAGTACTGTTCAAAGAATTTTGACAGATATCTAAATTATGTATAGACCGAGTGTACAATGGGTGCCATTAATTCTTTTTAAAAGAGAAATATATGTTTATGTGTTCGCGAATCTAAAATAAATTTAATGAAACGAAGGGGAAGCGTTTAAGGGTATGACGACGTTATTTAGGTGCCGCAATTCCATAATTGCATTTTGTATATGATTCGATATTTTGAAAAGTATACATCATTTTAATTTGAAATTTTCAGGGCTGATTTGTAATATATATAGCCATGATCATTTTTAATTTCGTTAATTTACGTCGACTAGTGGCAATTTTATCGAAGTTGTGACGTTACTTTTTGATCAACCCTCGTATTACAGGTTTAAAAAATGTAATTACAATATTATAAACTAATTTTGTCACTGATCAGTATAGGTCAAGGCCGTTACAATGTGTTATTGAAGTTATGATAAACGATCTTAAAGAAAGGGGTAATAAAAATGATATTAAATAAAAAGTAATGCAATGTAAACATACTGTCTTGAAATTATAAAAAATATAATTTATTCATTTTTTCTATTTTGTTTTTCATACTAATCCTTTGTGTTTGTCATATTTTGTAGTACTCTATAAAACAGGAAAATCCGTTAATTTTTGGCATTTTGCCCCCTTCCTCCGGTAACAAGACGGTAGAATTTTGTTTTTCTTACATTTCATGAACATTTCAGCATAACTCATCAAATATCTTAGTTTGAACAAGAAGTCTATTTTGGTTTTTGTATAATCTGCTTTAAAGTGCTAAAATTGGCATTTTCCTATATAATACTATAGTAAATGTACCTGTATTTTGAGACAGTCCCTCAAAAATACCTGGACAGTAGATATCCCCCAAATTTTGATTGTAGACTAAAGTTAATGTAAGTTATGTATGGTATAAAAATGAAGAGTATCGTAATTGTGGTTTTCGGATGATAAAACCCTAGACACCCCCTTAAATTTTGTATGCATAAACATTTGGGTAGGTAAGCCATGAAGAGTCATACTCAATCGAACAATAATGTGAACTAAACATAAACATGAAATCAAAAATCACCACGGAATGCAATTTTTCTTATATAACACTACCGAATGATTCCTTAACCACGAAATTAAAACCTCATGAAATGTCATAATATCTAAGCATGGACACCGGTATTACCTCCAACTTGCTATTTTTTTTCCGGAGACTACTATTACATCATGAAGAATCATCTTAAACTATATTATTTGTGACGACTTCAGAAGTTCACATTCTTTCCTATATGTTACAAGAACTCATTAGAGGAAAATATTATGTTCAAATCAGATATTATGTGAATTTGTAAAAGCAGTATTATCTCAAGTCATAGTGCGAAGAAACACTTTATGAATTAATGCAACAATGATTTTCTTTTATTTAAAAATATATTTTTAAAAATCATTGAAACTTATAATTTATATATTATTTTCCGTTTATTTGAAGACTACTTTCACTTTTGGCTGCAAACTATAAACACTTATTGCAATGATGGAATAACACAAAAGGATCCGAATCACACAACAGTAATCAAAGACTCCAGAGCGAATGTCAATTTTCAACCGGTAATTCTTGTTGCCACCCATAAAGACAAGCTGGTAAGAGCTGTTTACACTCAATTATCAACCTACATGTATATTTAATTTACATCTGAATAAAATTATATTCTTTACATAGAAAAATTGAAATAATCATACCATATAACGTATATTTTCTGAGATTTTCACAATTTTTTAGGAAATTTGGGGATGGGACATTTCCCCAAAATACAATCGTAAAATATTTCAAATATGCCTTCAAGTATTTTTAACATGTATTACAAGTGGTGCCTATGTTTGACGAATTGATATTATTATTAGAGCATGGACCCATTCATATTTCTTGTAAGTGCAGAATTGTAGCACTCCTACAGTGTCCTCAAATAAAAAAAAACCTGTATATTGATTGCGAACAAACAAGTGCGCTGTTTCCACGATTTATTTCTCAATGTTTTTTAAAGATTATCTAAAATTATTTCTAACCGTGTGATCAACATATTCTTGCACTCTTTCCAAAATAAAGCTTTCATTATTATGATTACTGTTGTTAATCGCTCTTCTGCCCTGGAACATCGAAAAGTTCGCATATTGATACTGCTATTTGATTTTCAAGATAATTCGATCCAAACCGCCCTGTACAGATGCAAACTACGACAGTAAGGGGAGTAAGGATTTTTTTTTTGAAATCTAGATTTTTTGCAATTGGGGTATCAATTTGGAAGAATTAATTCAGAACCTTGGGAACATTTTTGTACGCAGAATTTTATGATTTTAATGGGTGGCACTGTATTTCTCCGGTCTGTCAATATTTTTTTTCTAGGAGAGTTAGAGTTCTGCAGCTGTAATACTTGGAATTCAATGTCCTTAAAAATGATGCGTCTGCAAACGTATTGATGGATATGTCTTAGATAGCAAGAAAATATGGATGACATCAAACCCCTACAACTTCATAATATACAACTGCAAAATATTGCAGGATTTGTCTTTTCCTCTGTCTTTTGAATATTTTGAATGTTTTATAATAAATACATGCATAACTGCTCGTTTTACACGATATAGCTTGAATTTCCCGTGAATGAAATATATGGAGATAACGAACAGTATTCAAGATTAAAGTCCATAAAACATTACAAACACTCTAGCAGAGCAAAATCGGACCTTCTAAACATCAAAGGTGGGATCAGGTGCCATGGAAGAGTAAGCATACCCTGTCGACTGGTCACATTCGCCGTGTGCTTCTTGTCATGATCGTGAAATAACGGGAAAACCCGTCATCAATTAATGTACATGATAAATAAATGATTAACAATTAGTATGAAGATATCATTCAAATCGGATTAGTTACGCGTTAATGCACATGCCATGCCGCATGTGATTTTATACGATCAACTTGGAGTGGTTGATTATGCAACTGTTTGTTTAAGCTTTGAAAAATACCACAGGAATAATTTTCATGGTGAATAATTATGTTTATTTTATATTATGACTTGAATGTAGTTATAATTACTATCTCTTTGTTAGATTTTCTTGTTAAATAAAATTAAGAATAAAATAATGTACAATAAAATATTTTAGAATAAAAATTTTAATTGTTGTTTGAGTTTACTTGTACTGTTACTACTAGAATTTTTCAGGTCAACTAAGTAAACTTAGGTGATCTATTGCTGTTCGTTTTTTGTTCTTCGTCTTGTGTTGTGCAATAACATTGAAACATTTTTTGTCCGTCTTCATGAATTGACATTTGAACATTTTCAGCTTACTCTCTGCAACCACTCATTGACAACCAATTGCAATCAAATTTGGCATAAAACATCTATGGTTGACGAAAAACTAAAAAATGTGAATTTCATGGTCCCTGACGCCCTGGGTCGCTGAGGGGTTGGGCAAAAGCTACTAAAATAATGCAACCTTTAAAAATCTTTTACTTTACTCCTGGACATCAAGACGTCAAACTGTTTGCAAGACTGTAATCAGCTTATTAGAGAAACACCGACATCTTACGAACGAACGTAACTCTCCCTAACTTCCCGTATCTCTATAGTTTTCTCGGGACCAGCAATTGTACCCAAATAAAGTTTAAAATCGGAAATTATAAGTATATGTGTAAAATAGAATGGATAGTGTTTTAACCACTTGTATTTGAGTATTTGAGAATTATTCATGTCAACATTTTTGTAATCACTTACAATGTTTTTAAAAAACGAACAAATAGAAGAAAATACACCGTAATACTTTAGACGGATTTGGAAACACGTTTGTCATGCGTCAGTGATTAAACGTATATACCAACTACTTGTAGTGGCCGCCTATGGGAAAAGGTTACTTTTTACAGCTAGCTTGAAAAAAATAATAAATCCGTGCAATCAAGTAAATAGGTATAGTGCGCTTTATAGTGTCTTGTATTGAGAGAGAGAGAGAGAGAGAGAGAGAGAGAGAGAGAGAGAGAGAGATTCTTTTTTAAATTTATCAAAATATCACTTCAAAGAAATAAACGAACATTCATGGTAGACAGTATCTTCTTAGATGATGTATTAAATGGCGATCTTAACTAAATTATCTTGGGCTGCTTTTATCTTAAATATTTGTAACAGGCCTGAAGGAAGCAATTTCAGTTCGGGGGAGGGGGGGGGGGGCACAACCAAACATTTTAAGTTTAGAGTCACTACCAAACAATTCCTTGGGAAGCCATGAAAGATTTTTTTATTGAGGGGGCACAAGTATACAGTAGATAAGTTTTTTTTAATAATATTGCATTGTTTATTTATCGCTATCATTAGGGGGGGGGGGGTCATCCCCAACCCAACAACCCCGTTCCTATGTACATGTATACTAGTATCTGTTTATATACGTGGATTATAAAAAAAGCTGAAAATATGCATTTTTTAGTAAAGTTCTTTTCTTTGTCTCAAATTGATGCTCTACTTTGTCATTATTTGTTAACCATGCATTAATCGTCAACATATAACATCAGAAGATACACTTTATACTTTTGACCACCGAAAGTTAAATATACATGATATAAAAACTTTAACCGAAATTATAACTTGCTTCATCTGTAAGGAAAAATATATATCACCATCTTGTTGTAAAACAAAAACAAAAAAAATTGATTCTAGAATACCGACAAAAAGATACCGGTCTTTTAAAAGGGTGAATAATATGAAAACGTAGTTGTCACTTAGTTGTCAAGGCATCGTTCAAAAGTATGTGCACACATATGCTTATTACAAGTGCTTGTAGACCAAACAACTTCCCCACCCCCAATATTCATACCAGGTCCCGAGATATTCATATTTTGTCTTCTGTCATAGATTATCCCTCTAGTAATTTACAATGTATTTCATATGATACATAGAATTCACCTTTTATTTTAAAAATCATGCTCGTATAGTATCATAAAATCACCTATATTTTTTTAACTGCAGGTATCAATATTGAATGTTGTAAATTGTAAATGTTATTAATGGAAGAAAGCCAAAAAGTTATCTTTGGACCCGGATTCATATATATTGGGTTGGGTGACGGAGGGGGAGGGGGTGAGGGGGCATTGGTCCTATGATGGCATGATATATGCTCTCATATATCTTATATTATGTCAAAAACATAATTCAATAAACTTCTATTTTTGCGCCAACCCCCCAACCCCCCCCCCCCCCCCTGCAAAAAAAAATTATTTCAGCCTGCCTGTTCGTCTTATAATTCTGTCCATCTGTTACAGTTTTGTTTCAAGCAATATCTCGTGAAGCCTTTGAGCTTTTACAAAAATGAAATCAAATCAATAGCTTTGGGTCTTAGGTGTTAAAGGGGGGGGGGGGGGGTTGAGAATTATTTGAAGAGGTTTAAGATATATGTTTGTAAAAAGAAGCTTAATCAACCGACAAATAACGAACTGGAATCCCCCTCGATTTATAATATGGCTTTAATACCTGTATATTAAAGCCAAATAAATTTTATTTTTCGCAGCATATAGTATTTTGAACAAGAATTTCTTTTAAGTTTTTGAGTTTTTGCAATTTAATTTTAGACCATAACTCCTTATTGTCCCGACCGCCCATAGTTAAGCACACCCCCCCCCCCCCTAGATCCGCACATAGTATTACTAGTATTTATTTTTATTTCATGCCACAGAATATTTTTTTTTTTAATTTTCCTTTCATTTCCCTTCTCGAACCCCTTTGCTCGTTTAAATGTCCATTGAAATGTATTGTAGTGTCACGGTAGCGACTACGACAAGACGTGGCTTTGAGGTATCTTGTGGGGATTTTATCTGTCGAAATCCCAATAAAATTGAAGAATTCAATAATGCAACCGTGAATACAATAGAGTACAATGACTGATCCCCATTTTTAGTTACGTTCGTTCGTAAGATGGCGGTGTTTCTCTAATAGCAGATTAGAGATTTCATGTAAAAACCATACTTAACTGAGATTCTAGAAGCACTTTCCAGGTATTTTGGAAACGAACTTTCCATCTCTACAAATCTTATGTTTTGAAATATCCCGGCTTATTGTTGTTCTATGGCATCATTTTTGTCACGAATAACCGAGGATATGCCGACTGGGATACGTATATGGCTGACTGTTTTCGAAAGAGAATATCATCGATGAAAATAAATTAGCATACCTGTTTAATTAATTGAACTCTATGAATGAATATATGACCGATATCTGCTTTTAAACTCCATGTTCACGTATCCTTGTACATGCCGTTTTAGCCAAATTCTCTTTACACGAAATGATCAATTCCTAAGTTACTTGATGTACACATATGACGTCATCAATGGTAGATTTTAATAAAAATGACAGATACAGCATAACACAATGTAAACATTTTATTTTTGATAATGTTTACACGTTTCTATTAATTTTTTAAGAGTTAAATAAAATCTCTAATTACAAAATTACGAAAACTTGTGTTTTCAAATTGACGATATAACATAACTTACTATGACGTCATAATGTAGCACTGATTTATGTCAAGTGTAGAATATTTTGTTATATCCTTATATAAGTTGAAATAAGCTACGATTTCTTATAATTTATTTGCACAATAAATAAGTA